GATCTTTTACTGGAATATATATATATATATATATATATATATATATGTCTGATACTCGGAAGTATTTGCGTCATCCTATTCAGTTCATTTCTCGCTCACAGAGAGACGTAGATTTTGTCCGGTTGGTTGATTTCGTCGTATGGTTTCACGCTTCCGAAAATTCCCCACGTGTTTGGTACCCCCACGCATCAGCACCTTCACCTCTTTCATATTGAAATGATAATCTTCCTGATATTTGCTGCAGAAATCAAATCGATCGTCAAGATGAACTTGGAAATTGGAGCCAGCATTTGGTACGTGAAGCAAAAATGGCAGTCATGAGTCCTTTTATGGAATTCCAAGTGTTATCTCGTTGGTTCGGATATAATCTTACGTGAAATACATGATTTTGTCTAACTGATTTGTGCAGAAAGGTAATTGCCATAAAAATTATCGGTTTAAAGAGAGGGAGAATTTCCTTGGTGTTTTTTGATAGGATGCACCTTCATATATTTCAAAGCGTTGTTGGTGCTTTTCATAATAAATCCACCTTCCGGTTAGATCTGTATTTCGTGAGATGACTTCCTTTCGAATTATCTGCCAGACCGCACCTTGGGAATTTCGACTGATTTTCCAGAGTGTCTTTCAGTTTTAGAACTGACAAATTTTGTCCACTGGGGAGAGAGCTGAATCTTAGTGAAACCGTAGGATGGTAAGCTTGTGGTTGATTTTTAATTCCTAAAAAACCTGCGAATATTTTCTTCCTTTTTAATGATTTTTCTGACTGGAGGAAATGCATCTCAGTCTTTGTTTAATGCGACACATTTCGCCTTCAGCCATAACTTCCTTTACCAGAAGTAGGTCGCAGATGGGATTGTGGTTCATGAAATCTGAGCTTTAGATCCGGTTCCTTTTGAGAGCATGCAATATTCTACCGAATCCTTATAGGTAAATGACAAACCTGTTGTCGGTTCATCACAGTTCTTTGTCAGGGTGAGGTAGTTGGTATAATGGTCCTGTTTTTGAGTTTGTGGGGTCGTGATTCAAAATATACCATCTCTTTAGTCAATAAATAATCGAGTAGGCTGAGTTCTCATCTGCTTCAGGCGAGGCGGCTGATAGTCCAGTTAGCAGTAGACCAATTTATTCAATTATATCATGCCCAAACGACGCCAGTGGCAGCGACTCGTTTATTTCTAACTACTTATTACTGTTAAGTAGGTTATCACTATGAGCAAACATGTTCCCCAAAAGCCGACCTGCTCACTGGCCGCCTGAGGCTCTTCGCTTTACACTGAATGCGATCACTTTCCTGGCGGATCAAGCGATTAGCTTTTCAGTTCCTATTTTGGACTAAAGCACTTACCAACGCCAGTCGCAGGAGAGAATACCACACTCGTAGAGATGCTTCACTGGTTGCACAGAAGAACACTGTGTATTGCGCGTCCAAATTTCCGGATGTATACGGCTGAAACAAATTCCAGTTTGCAAAACTGAGTCACTGTGTTGATCAAGGTGAATAGACAATGATAATGGCCAACAAAATGGCACACAAAATCCATTCAACTGTTTTACGTTTGTGATCACTACAAATTACCAAACAATGTATGAGCCACCATGGAAACAAAGTCCACTACTATTTTTTCACAAAGTTAACTTGGGTTCGATGCTATCACAAAGCCCGACATCCGGCTACCAAGACTCATTTAATACTGGATTATGAATAAAACAGACATGTTATGTCGGACCATATAATGAGTAGTAACAAGAAGTCAAAACGTACTCTTATTAAGAATCCGTAGGGTGTTGGTGCCTGCATTTTCTTCCATCCGCCAGTGGTTGTGTACAAATGCAAGAACGGCTTAAAGCTGATGATCCGATGGAATGCGGAAATCTGTGCGTGTGGCGAAGAGCAAGGACAAGGACCGTTTAAATTTGTAAGAGCGGCAGTCATCATCATCATCGACAGCATGACCTCAGTGTTGAACACCGATGCTTCACTGTAGTACAACCATTTTTGAGAAAAGACTCCACTCCACACTCATTATTTTGCATCCGTTCCATCAGTGTATGATACACATCATTGAAAAGGCTAGTTTACTGGTCAATGGAAGTTTTGCCTACTTATCTGAAGTGGCAGTTACCGCTTAGAGCAATACAACCCTTAAATCGGTGTCATAGGTTATGTGATTTCGTGGTAGATAACGTGTGCTCGTGCTCTATTCCTCGTTTCTTGAACTGGTCCTGGCATTTAAGCCTGGCTCAATGAATTGAATGTTGCCAATGAATAGGGCATCGATATCTGTCTACACCCCATTTTTCCCGTTTAAGCATATCATACACAAACAAATAAAGAGAGAACCTATTAGCGCCCCAGTCGTGATAGGTGTTCCCACTGGACCTGGAGAAACAACCCGCCACGCGTCCGTAACATTCACCGTGAGATCTCCCGTGACCGACATGGTTTCCTTAGCCCACTTTCACCGACGAAGTGGAAGTCTGGAACAATTTTTAATTCCATGGGCTGTTTTTCTTCACGTTCAACCAGTGGAGTTTTGGTACGAATTTCTATGGGGATCTAGCACAATCCGGACTGCAAGTGAGTTGTTTCCCACATCGTTTGTTGGATGTGAGGCGGATTACTGTACAACCTGTGATGTACACAACAAACAAGATCTGATCAGATGAAGTGTAGAAAATAAGTGAAATTACAAGGTATTGTTTGATCGAACTCACTCAGTTCAAACGGGACCTTCGACAGACACAGTACGATACTGTTAAGCGCTTCCGGTGAATCACACTCAACCTATAGACATAATACACTACTCATAAGGTTGCTGAAAATCCTTCGACAACCCACGACCTGTTTCGCTCTACTTTTGGCTCACCATCATAAACGAGGGATTCAGCTGCGTTTGTAGCGACCCAGTCACACACATACTTGACTGTTCAACTCAATCGCCCACTGGATCGCGAGGCTTGTCTATTTTCTCATACGCACAAACACGTCGCACTAAGCTGACACACGATAAGTTCCTTTTTGACTTGCTCCCATTTCGCATTGTATTCATTTTTATACGTGTCGCAACCATGTTAAAAAACTTCTATTAGTGCACATGCACCTTCTGATTTGTATTATGGCTACCATCACCTGTGCCCCAATACGTTCCAGGTGAGTCTCTCATAAAACCAGATTCGTTTGCACATCCAACCTACTTTCCTCAACGGAAACCAAGGTCTGTACCTGTCAATGATCTGATCAGAGCCAAGCAATGATCAAACAAACAATGATCAAAACAAGTCTCAAACCGAAATTGCGAACACGGGCGCATCCTATTAACCAATGAATTGACATCCTCGTGGCTTATCCTTTGTTCTTTGTAATTCTGGTCATTCTACTCATGGAAAAATTCACTCCCCGGCGTTTTGGAAATTCGAGCACACAAATCACATCGTCACATTATACCACAAGCAAACTAACTGTTATACACGACATGGAGTATCTTGACATCATTCAAGCAGATTTCGGTGCACATAGTCGCCGGCTGTGTGTTGTCCCTACTGAGTGACACGAAAGAGGAAGCTTCAGGCAATAATGATGTAATCAATGAATTATTTGTCATCAACATAGTGTTAAATTTCTGCCTGAGGTTTTTCGGTGATAGTGTACTCCCGTTGTATGCGCCTGAACGTTCTTGTGCAGCATCTGTAACAGATCAATTCTCGTGTCCTCGTTGGGTCACAAAGTTCATTTTTTCGGGGTACTTGTAGTCTATGTCCCACGCGTCAAACCGACGTGATGTCTGCCGCTGTGTTTCTGATTTTGCCTGCCTGACATTCCTGTGATTTATTATTTTCCTTTTGTTGCCCATGCAATCTCTTGGAATCAATGCTCATGTACGCAGAAAAAGACCACTGATTCTGGTCCCCTTTTAGTCTTAAGAATGAGTCATGCGTCTATTCTGAAGTCATTCCGGCCTTATTGTTCAGTAATATCAGAAGCAGCATTATAGGCTATTACTGACGAACGGAAGAAGCCTTTGGTTCGGAGTTATTTATTAGAAAACACCAACTGAACAGTAAAAGACAATTGGACAGGAAAGCAAAACTTTCATATGCGTCTTTTTTTATAAAAAACTGAATATTCGTCTTCTTCTGGAACACACATTCCTAAACTTTCCTGGATATTTATCGACTATCACTCAAATGTAAACAAATGCACGAAATTAGCGAAATACACTCATTTTGCGAGAAACTAACTCGGAACTCAGAGGATTCTCTCGTTTGTGATGTTTTCAGGCAACTGAATGGGCTGCACCAGGCCGCCTCATGTTTCAGTCACTAAGATCTTCGAGATATCGCGATACATGTATGTATATTCGTAATGCAATAATTATAAGGTTCCTGAAAATTCATTGAGTAGTTCACTACGAATATACACACATGTATCGCGATATCTCGAAGATCGTAGTGACTGAAACATGAGGCGGCCTGGTGCAGCACATTCAGTTGCCTGGAAACATCACAAACGAGAGATTCAGCTGAGTTCCAGGTGAGTCTCTCGCAAAACCATATTTGCTTGCAAATGAGTGTGTTTCGCTCAGTTCGCATAACTTTCAAGGGCATCATTCACGAACCAGGGTTGCTGTTCCTGAAGTCTCATCGAACAGAAAGAAAACCCAAGACTAAATTCGTATTCATGATGACTCCCGGTTGGCTTTTGTTGACATCATAATCTCGCAGCCTATCGTTGTTCATACTGAAGCAGAAGATTGGCTAAAAAATGCCAATTTAGGAAAGTGAATGGTTCTGATAAATGGCCGATAATCGTTTCATTAAATGATTTCAATTCCATACGTTACGACGTTTCATTTTCCCCGTCTGGCCAAAAGGTTAATGTGAGTTCCCACTCTAAGATTCTTCGACAGCTTTGGAATTTTCTGTTAGATACATTTCAAACATAAGCTTCGCTGATCAGTCATCGACGACATCTGCGTCACGTGAAAATTAAGCGGATGTGTTCGGTCTGTACCTCTTTGTCTTCACTCGTCAATCGGTAGCTTGATAATCCCCACAGTCTATGTGAACTGATGACGAGTATATAGTGGTCTCGCTAAGGCGACTTTGCGTGCTGGGCAGACACCTATTTACTGCTTTCGAAAACCGAATAGAAACGATTGTGAACCGGAATCAGTGCCCTGATACCATTTTGATATCAAGTTCGATCTACACAAAGAGGCGATGCACGTTTACGAAACTTTAACGGACAAGAGTGACTGATGAATTCAATATCCTTTGGACCTTTTAACAACCGAACTAATGAAGCAGGCCGATGAAATTAATGCGAAATCACCGTATTCTTTTCCGAGCCACTAAGAATGGCTTACTGAATAGTTCATCGGAGATCTCGGTCAAAAGTAGTCAAAGGGCTTGCTCCATCAAAAATTGCAGTGAGCACGTACATTGTTTTATCCCACCAAGCACTCGAGTGAGTTGACATCGATTTACTTTCCTCCTGAAACCTAAATCATCAGTGATGCATTCAAGTGATCCATTTCACATATTCCCCATGAGATCATATCGCAAACAGCTATTCGCAAGTCCAGTTGCCTTGATTCCTGACCACATCAGCTTCTGGCGATCAATCACTCTTACCATGGTGCTCATCATGTGATCAGCTGACTGACTGGCGGTGACTGGTTCATCCCCACCACTAATATAGTAATCGATACTTCACTCCGTTATGTGTTTCTCTGAACTGTTACCTGTCATTCTGTTAATGTGAGAGACCAGGCAGAGCAATATTGCAAAAGATATTCACTAGTCGACAATTTCAGTTTTCAACGAAGCAGAAAGTTGACCCGCGAAAAAGTGAACTAGAGGTTCATGTTATGTATAACCGTGTGCAATACAGGAGATTGCCCAAGCCGCAATTCCAGGGAGTCGCGCATCTAAACCGTAGCTCGAGGAGTACCGAAATAAACAGAGAAAAATGGGGGGGGGGTCGGAGATGTCCGGGAGCCCTACATCCCTTAAAGATAACCCGACATGCAGCATCGTTTACAGCTGAATCTTTATTGATGTCCTTGGGAGTAATAGCCTTCTCACGCTGAGTTGTTAGGGACTTACTGGATACAAATTCTATGGGGGTACGTAGGAGACTATTAGGCCATTAGGCCAGTTCGATTACTGCAGGCCAGTAATTGTGTTATCATTGTAGATAGGTTACTACGATGTCAGACGTGTGTATGCTGTGCCAGCAAAGGTTGCACTAACTTCACAACCACTGACGCAACACCGAGTTCCTTTCTACAGCGACACACTGACGGTATCGCTTCTACTGGTGATGAACCATGAGCAGTTTAAAAGCACCGCCTCTCTTTTGATGTAGTGAACTGCGGAATCCGGGAACTTAACCCGGTTGTCATCGTGTGGTGAAGGTCATCGTTGCTCGCAGCCTTGTGCAAT